TGCTTCTCGGTCGCTGTTTGTCGCTGCACCAAAGAGCTTTTCAGAAGCCGTTCTGCTGGCCACAGTAGCTCGCTCTCTGAACATTTCCCTTCTGACTTAAAGTGGGTGCTTGAAGAAATAAAAATGGGCGGGGTGATGAAACCCCCAGCGATTGCATAACATCCAGATTAGGTACAGACAGTCATAACTATCTCTCCCTGGACATCTGTCGGTAATTCTGCAGATAAAGTACTGCCTGACTGTTGTTATTCTCCTGGTCACAAGTAAGTTGTACAGAACATCCAAACTAAATATTCAATTATTTACCAATTTCATTTGCAGGGGGATACTTCTTTCTCATCCTCTCTCTAATCCACTTTATGTCCACTGTTTAATTTCAGAGGTGAATAATAGAGACTCAATGAACCAGTCAGAAGCAATAAAGGACGAATATTCAGCAATATCCTGTACTTACTCGGTGTTTGCTGCAGCTACTAGCTATGACAATGCGTACAGTTATGGTCACTAGCAAAAGGATGTAAATGTTTTGGAGAAGGTACAGAAAAAGAGTGGTGAGTGCCTGGAAAGCATTGACAGAGGAGTTGGTGGAAGCAGACAAAATAGCTGCATTCAAGAAGCACCTGGACGATACATGAATAAGAATGGAATAGAGGGATGCTAATCCTATAATTTAAGACAGTTTTAGTCTGGAAGGGCAAAATGTAGCGGCGCAGGCTTGGAGGTCCGAAGTTCTGTGCTGTATTATTCTTTGTTCTTTGAACTGCAATTACACAGCAAAATCCATTTTCCAATGCTTTTCTGGTGCATTCAGCATGCCGGGGAAGCTCCGAGATATTTATTGAGAAGGTTCGACAAGTAACAGAGAGATAAGTTGCCAGATTTCTCCGACAGATTTTCTGCTACCTGGGACAGTGAAAAGTAAAATGTTCCTCTAAATATTGCCGCTGCTCTTGTCTCTGATTGACTAAGTGACTTATTTAATGTCACGTGTACTGAAATACAGTGAAAAGCTACAAGCGGTATAGGCAGGTCATCGTAAGCAAAGGATGTACAGATCAAAAAGACTTCGACAAAGGCATAGAGTCTACATTGCACAGGGCGTGCGTTAGGCGAGATCAGTATCAGCAAGATCAGCTCAGCGTTGTGCTCAGCCAGTGAGGGAGGTGCACACAACAGACCATGAAACAACAACTTCAGAACCCCGTGCAATGTGCAATAAAGTGATAACTCAATCTTGACTTACATCAAGCCCTGTATGATGTGTTTAGATATCCATAAGCAATTCCATCATTCTTCCTGGCATATTTCAATTCGATTGTTGCCCTCGGTCTGGTTTCTGATCATCCATTAACATGTCGGAAACCTACAGCTATTCCTGTATTACAGATTATTGTTGTATTGGTCTGTGTTCATTAGTTTCTAATTCTGTCTTGATAACAATGAGGTTGCACCTGTTAACATTGAAGATGCTTGGTATTAATATATGTAAGCATCTTTAACATTGAAGAATCTGTAATCAGGTTGCTACAATTGTTTGGACTTTCATTCGACAGGCTTTGGTGTCACTGCAAATTGATATTTCGTGTCAAAATTATTTGTTCCTTTGAATGAGATATTTCTGGAACGGCTGGACTGGGAAATACTTCGTTCTAAGCTACTTCAAGTTTTGCATTCTTCATCGTAGTGGCCTCTTTCCAGCGATTCTCAAATAAACAGCAACTTCCCTCACACAGTGTCAGAATCAGCAATTGATGTGAATGATTTTAAATGATATTTATGTGGACTATGCTCTGGGTATGCCCTCACAAGAATATACTGAATTACCAGTGAGTGGCCGGCTGTTATGCAGACCCCTCAACAGGTAGCAGCTGTGATCCAGAAACCTGTGGCAACGATTGCCATTGCTCGCTCCCAATGCTGTGAGACTCACAGCACATTAATAGACCGTGGTATCAGACAGTGGTAGCCCCGAGATTGTCAATTGGTACAACTTGTCTGACTGCTGGACTGTATCAAAAAAAACTGTTCTGAGTGAAATCCACCTTCAATTTAGGACCACCGCTCTTGTACCTCCGGACTGCAAGCTCGGGTTGACAGCATGGGTACTGATGGGACCAGAATAAGGAATACCCTTGGTCAGCGTAGGTGCAGTTTAAGTGACATATTCTCCCTCTGACTGTCTGAGGAAGGGCTCCCGCTGAAAAACAGAAATTCCATCGCCAAGATCTGGAACACAAGGCTAAAGAAAGAGGAAATCATTTAATAAAACTTAACTTGAATTGGTGTATAAAAAAAATCTTATTCAGTGTGACATGAAATTAAACAGGAATTTATGCATCAATATAACATCAGAAAAATTGGTCTATATCCGTGTTATTTCAGAAGAAATGCCCTTTCCCCTTCCTCTGTTTCTATCTGCATGTCCTTATTTCCATCTCGCTTTCATCTATTTACCTGACGTGTGTTTCATGAATCTATGGATTTGATTCAACCGCCCTTGGCGCCAGTGTGTTCTGTAGTCTGAAGCGTACTTAGGATTCTGTTAATTTTTCGATTAGATTTTTTTTTACTCTTACACTTAAGAATCACAGTTTTTGGAATCTTCCCCAGTCCAAAACATTATCTTTATGATTATCCTGCCAAGAAATCTTCATCAGTGTAAATATCTCTAGCAATTTTATCGTTACGTGAGGGAAGAAAAATGTCCGTTTATATAGTGTGTTTCAAATGTATTGTCCCTTAATACTGGGATCATCACTGTAATTATTTTTGTGCGTTTCGTGTCGTTTTCTTATTCTTACATGATGGAGAGAAAATCGGTTCACAATTGCTCAAGTGTAATGCAGCCAGAGTCCAATGTTTGTTGAAAAGAACACTGGTTTGTTTCACATTCAAAAATACAGAAAATGAACTGCATAATATCAAATAAGACAGAGAAAAAAGGGCTCCGTTAATCTTTACAGTTGAGCTATTTCAAAAATATGTTCGGCAAGTGGAAGACAAGTTTAAAATAAAAGCTGCACTTCAAATGTTGCGTGATAGACAGGACTCAGAAGAATGAAATACTGATGTCATCTGTGGGTAATTAATTCATGTTTTTCTTTCTGTTCCCTTATGGAATGTAGGCATTACAGAAAAAAGCCAGTGATAGCTCTTTGTCTGTGTGACTTGGTCAGTTATTTCAAAAGGCCCATGATCTGTAGTTAAATGAAGCCCAGAACAGTTAACAGTGGCAGATTTCCATTCCTATTAGGTTGCAAAGAGCAATGGGTTTTTACAACAATCGATGACAGTTTCACGACCATCATTACTTGGTCGAGTTAATACAAGATTAAATGTGAATGAGTTGACGTTTCAACAGCTGCTAAGAACGCAAAACATTAGCCTGGCCTTCTTGCTTACTAGTCCAACCACAAAACCATGATACAATCCCTCGTTCCCTCCCCCCACTCCCCATCCCCAGTCCTCCACTGACTATGCAATGTTTCATGTTATTCTGTAAATGTTTCATTTCTTAATGACGTCTTGGAGATTAAAATAAGAAAAGGGACGATTGTCGGGTATAAAATTAAATAGAAATTACTTGAACTGAAGCGTATAATTTATATTTCCGTAAAGAGAAAGAGGTGGTCAGCAACAATGTTAGCCCACTAAAACAGCAAGTTGGGTTATTGTCAATGATTGTGTGGAAATGCCAGTATGTTCAGTAATTATTATGTCTCAGTGTTTACAGTAGAAAGAAGGATAGTTTGCCAGAACTGGCTCAGAAACAGGTACTGAATAAAATTAAAGTAAGCAAAACATCGGAAATGAGGAAATTAATGGAATTAAAATGGGTCAAGTCACCGGAACCTAATGGATTCCATTCAAATATGTTAAAGGAAGCAGGGGTGCACATTTTAGGGTCATTAACTAAATCTTTCAGTTCTAAATGATTATTTTCAAAAATTTTAATGATCTGTGCAGCTGAGCTGTAAGTCTCATTGTACATGCACTGTTTTTAATTTCATACGAAGAGAAGTAATGAAATACTGGTCTTCATATACGGTGGACTGGAGTACAAGATTGTACCGATATTCTGCAGTTATACAAAATCCGGGTTAGCCCATACTTGGCGTATTGTGAGCAGGAAGGGGCACCATATCTTTGGAAAGATATATTGGCTTTGGAGGGAGTACAAAGCAGTTTTAGTGGTTAGAAGCTTGAACTTCCTGGTTTAATTTATAAAGTGAGATTATGGAAGTTAGGCCTGTTTCCATACAATTTGGAAGTTTAAGGGATGATCTGATTGAAGTCCAAATGTATTACCAGGAATAAACAGGTTCGGTAGATAAACTATTCCACCTGCTTGGGAATTCTAAAAAATGGCGGCATAGTACGACAATTAGGGCCAGAGATTTGAGAAGAGATGTTTGGAAGCACTTCGACACACATAAGTTGGTGGATGTTTGGAACTCTCTTTCACAAATGGGATTGAACAAAGGATTAGTTTTTAATTTTAAATCCAAGGTAAATATTTCATTTTAGTGAAACCAAAGCGTTAAGGGATATTGGCCAAAGGTGGCTATCTGGAGTTAGGCTACAGATCAGCCATAGTCTCATTGAACGATGCTCGAGGAACTGAATAGCCTATTCCCGTTCCTATTTTCCTATATTCCTTAATAAAATGAAGCTGTTTTAGATTAGAGATAGTGTGTCATCTCATTCTTAACAATTAGTGGCTTCAGTTGATGGAGACAGAAATGCATATTTTCTTTTAGGAAAGGATAAATGCAAACCTTGCTTTTAACAGTTCACATACAGATACAATTCGGCATTCACCCATTCACCCAAGCTATAAAATGTAATTTGTCTGTTTGTTTGCTGAACTGTAACTAATATGCATGCTGTGTTTTTATAATGCTTCTGGTGACTCCCTGTTGGAATAAATAAGGACCGATTTCAATGTGTCACAGAAATAAGGTTTGCAGTTTCTGAAATTGTTTTTGATTCTGGAAAAGATGCACGGACCAGCGAATGGGCTCTTGTTTGCCATTTGCTACCCCATTCTCGCCTTTATTGGTGCACCAGGTCAGTAACTGATCTCAATACGTCATTTTATGAATATGAATGAATTTAGTTTCTCCACTTTTAAGATCAATCCGAATTTTTTCCAACATTCAGCGCTCTACTATGTGACTAGATGGTATAGTGGCAAGTTATAGAACGTTATTTGCACTTGTGGTATGGAACATGAAACGAAATTGTTCAATGCATTATGCAACATGATTATAAAAATATCACATATTAAATTGCTGAAATATGAATCACCATGAATGAAATTTGCTCAATTCGATTATAATTAAATATTATCTCCATGTAGCAAAAAACTCATCTAGCGTGTTTAATGTTTCTAGTTAAGAATAATATTAGTAGCATATTGCATGAATATTTAACATGTTGATGTGGTCAGCGACATTAATCATGGAGACTTTTGAAATGTGACTGGCAGTGCAAGAACTTCTAGAGATTATACTTTTGCTTTGTCCTGATAGGTGTTGTAAATTTTGCTTTTACTTTGGTTAATTAAACTTTTTCATCCTTAGACGGCTGTTGCTCGTTCTAGCAAGGAGATTAACTTCATAATAGAGTTTGTTTGGATCTTCAGTTCTTGCCGTATGTTTGGTGGGGATGCCGTTTAGCATGTATTACTAATAAATTTGACTATGACGTACGGAAGGAGATATCGATTTTGATACCCAGATCCTTGATCTAAGAGATATTATAAAGCATGTCCCGAAATAGACTGGCGGGCAAGAGTAGTTGAGGAAGTGAGTAATGGAGATCTGAACTTCTACATATAAATTCACAACTGCTACTGAGTTAAGGATTGGTATCATACCAGAATTACAGTTACAGTGATCACAGATGGCAATACAATTTTACAGATGATAGAAGGAAGATTGCACCATTACTTCAAAATCAGGATGCATGAGACTATTATAACCCTGAAATTGCTGGATGAAATGCCAATGTAGACCAGCAAGTATAGAGGTCATGAATGTACGAGACTTGTTATGAATAACAGATCAGGCAGCAAATGGTTCAAATGTGTTTAGATTGGGTAGCAAGCTGTTCGTGTAGTCTCAGTGGTCATATAAATGCGTTTGTCTCTGGAAGGGTTGGGGATTTCTCATCTATGGAGAAATGTTTGCTCCCAACATTGGCTCCAGAGCAGCTGCCAAAGGCTTTGGAATAGTTAATCCGTGGAGATACGACTGGATGCATCTGGAGGGGTTCTGCAATAAGATTTCATCAGGCTGTAGCTTGTGTTTCGAGTTCACTTGGTAATATATTCCTCCCTTGTTATCTTTCACAGCCAACTTGTTAGCGATTATAATTCTATCCCAAGGGCAATGCGGGCTCTCGGAGTGCATCACTTACTATCTGGTGGCCATAGCAGTGAGTGATTTCCTTGTCATCATCACAGGTGGAATTCTTAACAGGATTGGCCGTATTTATTTTAGCTACAGTATTCTTTCCACTACCCCTGGCTGCAGTCTAAATGCGGTGTTGGTGTATGCAGCCCGGGATTGCTCTGTCTGGCTGACAGTAGCCTTCACAACTGACCGTTTTGTGGCCATCTGTTGCCAGAGATTGAAGAACATATACTGTACTAAGAAATTTGCATCGCTGGTCTTAGGAGTGGCCTGTGCCCTAAGCTGTGTCAAGAACACCCCTTTCTATTTCATTTATCAGCCCATGTTTTTCCTAGAAGGGATGCCCTGGTTCTGTGATATCAAGCCCACGTTCCACACTTCACCTGCCTGGCAGGCTTTGCACTGGCTCGACCGAGTCTTGGCCCCATTTCTCCCATTCCTCCTCATTCTTCTGCTCAATGCCCTGACAGTCAGACACATTGTATTGGCCAGCAGAGCACGCAAGAGGCTCCGAGGCACTGAGAATTGTGAAGATCCAGAGATTGCAAACCGCAAGAGGTCCATAGTCCTGCTCTTCGCAATCTCTCTCAGCTTCCTCCTCCTGTGGGCCACCTATATTGGTCGCTTCCTCTATCGATTGCTTGCACATAAGGGGTACATCAGCAGCCTGAACTTCAAAGATCCACAGTACATCCTTCAAGAAACAACCAACATGCTCCAGATAATCAGCTCCTGCAACAATGTCTTCATCTATGCGGTAACTCAGAAAAAGTTTCGAAAGGAGCTAAAAAGAGTGCTGATGTGTCCTTTCACTACTCTAACTGGATGCTTCAAATGTTAAAAAAAAGTACACCAAATCACCATACTGAATCTACTGGTGCCCATCAGTATCAGTGTGCCCGAGAATATAACACTTTCATTTTACAAGTAATAAATAGTAGATTTAAACCGCAAAAGTAGAGAAATATAAGATAAAAACTCTCAAGGTGCGTCAGTACACTAAACAAAATGCTGAAGAAATTCTGAATGACCAGAGTTCATGCCTTTCTGGGTGGAACTTCTGTCCAACTTCTTAATGGAACATAAAATGCACCTCGCCATTTCAGTAAATAATAAGACGAGTTATCTCCATAGTTCTGTGTCAATATTTATCCTTCATGTAGAAGGCAGGGACAGGGTAATGAGCAGATTAGAAGAGATATAGCCTATTTTCCCCTCATGTTTTGTATGTGATTACTGTTCTGAAGTACTGGAATTTACCTCTGCGCAGTTGATGCCACTTTTTTTTGCATCACAGTAGGAACGTGTATAATTTCTTTCTTTCTTTCTTTCTTTCTTTTCTCCTTTCTTTCCTTCTTTCTTTCTTTCTTTGTTCCTTTCTTCCTTTCTTTCTTTCTTTCTTTCTTCCTTCCTTTCTTTCTTTTCTTTCTTTATTTTTGTTGCAGACCCAAGATCGTTAAACAGGTGTATTTTCTTGAGATCTCAGCAGAGAAACGGATTTTAGAAAATTCTGTTTTTGTGCACCATCGCTCGAGCGTTCAGAGAATACGAATTCAGGCTGTGAGTTCGGCCGTTGCTCATACCATGGGACATAATAGCTAATCCATGTAGATTCGTAGGCACAGTTTAAAGTTAGTATTTGTTGTGTCTTAACATCGAGGCTGAGTGACGGAAATTCCATGCTCAGATTTGAAAATGTTTAATCGGGAAAATATCAGATAGACTTGTGTTGAAAATTTAAATTAAAACATTGTTCAATTTGAAATGTGTTTTGTCTGTAATTACCTGTCAGAAATGCTCCCCAAACAAGTCAGACACTGGTCAGTTGCAGCCTTGATCTCCAATTTATGGATGTGGAGGTGGAAATGTTAACAAGCTCGTTCTATTCCCCAACATCAACAACCTGCTGTTGCATGTTAGCTTGATCTGTCTTCCACTCCTTGTGTTCGCTATAGCACTATGGGACCAGTTCCAGTCAGCTGACAGGTAGTGAATGGAAACACCTTGAGACAGATACAGACAGTGTCATTATGAAAAAAATTGTTTCATTGTTGAACACGTCGAAGCCTTTATCAATCTACAACCAGAAAAATGGTCTTATCAACAGTTTTTTTTTTTAAATTCAGGCATTAATGCTATTTCTCCTTTTCAAATGTCATCTGAAAGTTCAGAGCATTGAAAGTCAGAGATCTTCCAACACCACTTCAGCTTCATTGAATTAAGCAAAGTTCTCTATTGGTGGGAGCAGCTATAGTAGATAAATTATAATCACGTTAATAACAAGGTTAAATAGAGAAACTCCATTAAAAACTTTAGAGTAGATTGGATTTAATTAAATGAGGGTTCATATTTACATTGTTTGCAAGTGTCGGCAGTTAATAGTTGCCATCTCACTGCAGCTTTGTGATTTCATACTGCTAAAACCGTGTTCCGCCCAACTAATTTGACTTATCTTCTCATTTTAATGCCTCTCTGCATTAAAATATATAGAAACTGTGACAACAAGACCAATGTGACATAATCATACATCAACATCCTTCGTTCATTTGAGGATTCGATGATATTTCAGCAATTGGACATGGATTTCAGATCACCAGCAGATGGAGCTCTCTCACATTGCTGTGTGCAGTCTGCACGTTGCACGGTTATAGTGACCCCATGTTTTTCCAGGAGGACTAGTGGCTCCCAAAACTCACCCTATTCGTGCCACATGCTATGATATATTCATGTATTTTCTATCCCTTCAAAGAGCTCTTACTTCGACTGTTATTTCCTTACTTTTTCCACTTTCTTTCTCATTGTCTGTTCATTTCTTACAGTTTGTATCTCAATCTGTACTATCTGCAAGCTTCTTCTTTCATTTTATCTTTATGTAATAAGCTCAGTCATTCTGTATTCATTTATTAACCTCCGTGTCGACATTTCTACGTCATTTGAATTCTCTTTGTATCAATGTTGACGCCTCAGCATCTTGCGTGAAATACGCCTTAATTTCTCTGAAAGGCCTTTCCCTCTCATTCACTCCATGTTTCTTTGTTCTTAACTTATTTTCCTCCATTTGTTAATTGTCTTCGTTTTCGTGTTGCTGCCGTTGACGCCCTGATGTATATTCACCGAATACCCTCCCCATCTGTGTCAGTCTCATTGAAATCATTGCCTCTTCCACAGCACATGCCCGGGTCTTTACCACATTTTCTTTCCGTATGCCTCTTCACCTCTAAATACGATTACACCCGGTTCTCCCCGAAGGACTAATTCAAGACACAAATGTGCTTGGTGCTGCTTTCGTCTATCGTAATTTTTCATTTCATTGAATATATGCAAGTGTTATTCTTCAATCCACTTCCAGGAGAATATACTTGATTCAGTGCCTGTTACAGTTTTTAGATTGCGAGTTTTCTTATTCCGTCGTGGAACATAGGCATCGCTGGCCGGGCTTACAATTATTGCCCATCCAGAGCTGCTGTGAAGAAGCTGGTGTTGAGCTGTCTTCTGGAAGTGCTGCAGTCCGGTGTGATCTAATTTGACCAACAAAACCGTTAGGGAAGCAGCCCCCGATGTTAGTAAGAAAGATTTTGTATGGCCACCCTTGTCATTTCTGGTACCCATATCAATGCCAGGTGGTCCTGCCAGTTTTATTTCTGAGATTAACCAATACTCTGCAATTGAAGGCACAATTACCTCTCACAATGGATCTCACGCACTCTCACATTTATATCAATAATCAAAAACGAACATTATTCACTTCCTGGGCTGTAATTAAACACAGCAAAATAGCTGCATTAAAATCAACTCAGACCCATCAGATCCAACACATTTCTAGTCTATGTGTCCGTACAACGTTCCAGCACATTTAGGAGCGTGAAATGTCAGTATTTGTATGCGTCTGAATTTGACCCCAGGTCCCAGTCATGAGGTCTAGTGATCAGCGTGGATTGTTTTCTTGCCCTTGTTGAAGGCATGTGATACATTCAACAGAAAATTATGCCTGGATTGTACATCCCAAAAACATCCAATGAAACCAATTCTCCAGTGATATTCCTCATCATCGAGCGGAGATACTAGGAAAATGCAATGAATTGAATTGGAATGTTCACGGGTTTAATTTTAGGTCAACATCTGTTGGATAAAAACTTCCAGTCTTAAAATATATTTCTGCACTTTTCCTATCGAAATATGTGCGTCAAGATATTGTGATCAGCCAATCACATCAGTCATTATTCCAAGCGGGAGAATCTACTGAAATGAAAGAGTATAGAATCTCCAGAAACTCTGTGACAATCCGCCTTTCTAACTGCAACTACAAAACCATTTTTTTCATGTTGGTAATGCCACAGATGAACAATTCAAACGTTTTGTCCACACAACAAGAGGTTATAACGACCTTCAAAGGGATATCACTGGGTAATTGCTGCAGAAATGTGTACATGTGCAGTGAGGCACAATAATAAATTCTCTCTGCATTCCACACCAGCCTCTGTGATTTCCTTAAGATGCTTACCCCTTCGTGAACGACATTTAGCAGCGTAGGTGTCAGTATCATGTCCAAATGCCTATTAAGACCACACCGCTATAGATATTTCTTTGTGTTATTAAGATGTTAATCCTTAGCATTTGACCATTGGGCGGGAGCATTTTCATCAAATTAAATGTTCAAATCAAATGTTCCAGTGTTTAGATGTTTCAAAAGAAATAGGGATGGTGGTAAAAGAGGTGGGGAAGTGGCTTTGCTCTTCAGGGATGGCATCATAGCTGCAGAAAGAGAGGTATGGGTAGAAGTCAGAAAGAGAAAAGGAGCAGTCACTTTATTGGGAGTTTTGTATAGACCCCACAATAGCAACAGAGACACTGAGGAACAGACTGGGAGGCAGATTTTGGAAAGGTGCAGAAGTAATAGCATTGTTGGCATGGGTGACTTCAACTTCCCTCGTGTAGACTGGAACATCTTCAGTGAAAATAGTTTGGATGGACCAGTATTTGTCAGGTGTGTCAAGGAAGGATTTCTAACTCAATATGTAGATAGGCCGACTAGAGGGGAGTCCATATTGGATTTGGTGCTTGGCAACGAACCTGGCTAAGTGTCAGATCTGTCGGTGGGAGAGCATTTCGGTAATAGTGACCACAACTCCCTGAACTTTTACTATAGTCATGGAAATGGATAGGATCAGATGATATGGGAAACTATTTAATTAGTGGAGGCGGAATTAAAATGCTATGATGCAAGAACTGCGAAGCATAAATTGGGAACAGATTTTCTCAGGGAAATGCACGGCAGAAATGTGGAGGTTGTTGAGGGAGCACTTGCTACGAGTACTGGATAGGTTTGTCCCACTGAGGCAAGGAAGGGATGGTAAGGTGAAGGAACCTTGGATGACAAGACATGTGGAACATCTAGTCAAGAGGAAGAAGAAAGCTTGCTTAAGTTTGAGGAATCAAGGATCAGACAGGGCTCTAGAGAGCTACAAGGTAGCCAGGAAGGAACTGAAGAACGGACGAAGGAGAGCTAGAAGGGGGGTATGATAAAACCTTGGCGGGTAGGATGAAGGAAAATCCCAAGGTGCTTTTTTTTTTAACTTATGTGAAGAACAAGAGGATGGCCAGAATGACGGTAGGGCCGATCAGAGATGGTGGAGGGAACTTGTGTGTGGAGTCGGAGGAGGTAGGGGAGGTCCTTAACGAATACTTTGATTCGGTATTCACCAGTGAGAGAGACCTTTACGGTTGTGAGGACAGCATGAAACAGGCTAATATGCTCGAACAGGTTGATGTTTAGAAATTTTGAAAAGCATGAGGATAGATGAGTCAGAGATAGTAGGAACTGCAGATGCTGGTGAATCCGAG